TACATCGGGTTTGCGATCACATGGCGTAATAAATCTCACTATTTTTGTAATACTCAGTGTCGGTTTTATCATATTATTTACAAGTATTAAAAACGCTTTATTTCCCAAGTCTATACAGTTGATACAAAAAGAACAACCAACACAACTGGTACATTCGATACAATTTGTCCAATCAAAACAACAATCACATTGTTTGCATCCAGTACAATCATAACAGCTATCACATCGTTGACATTCAGTACAATAAAAAAAATCGGTGCATTTGTCACAACCTACACATTTTTTGCAATAGTTACATACATTAATAAAACGACAATCTGAACAACGATCACAATCACAAGAATCTATAGCGTTATTAGATCGGGTCACATTTTTACAAAAGTGACAGATGATGTTGTTTTTAAAACAAATATATGGCAGCCGTGCTTTGGTTTTGGTATTCATGTTTCTATTAAATACACATTTACTTAAGGCGGTTTCAGATTTCAGATTCAGTTTCGTGACGTCCAAGTCCTCTAAACGCTTGCAATGCTGATATATTTGAAATGATATCGTCATTTGTAACTTTCAACGTGGCCGCCGCTACTTTATACCTGACACTAGCACCACACGACAGCGAACCGTGGGTTCCGTAACGGTACACGTCTCTTGGATAAATGAATGACTGAGCATCACATCTTTTGTTAATAAATTTACCTATATTTGACGAATTGACGGGTGTCTTTCTATGGTTAAATAACAAGGTATAGGGATCTTTTTTTAACGTACATTCGGTTTTTGTCTGTGTACCCATGGCCAGGTTTAACGGCGTATTCGATCCTATTTAAATCGTCGACATCGCGACTGGCATTATATGCGTTTATTGTGCAAGATGGTATGTTAGACTTTTCAGTCGCTTGTTCTTCAATAAATTTGTAAACCGCTAAATTTATGTGAACGAGTATGTCTACAGTAGGCTGTTGTAATTGGTAGAATATTTGTCGGCCCGCTATATTCTCCAACGTTTTATCTCTAACGCCATATTTATACAGCGGATTTATACCGTAACAAGATTCTCTCGTCATAATCAACAGGCGTTTATCTTGACCGTTGTGGCGATAAAAAATAGGCGAGCTGCACACATTTGCATTGGCCTTCTTTAGTCGCGGGTTTTGAAATGGTCAGTTTACTTGCATCAAAAGGACCGTAAACGACATTGGGATCGCTGTTGTTGGTATTGAGACACTCGTGGTCGTCAGTTACGATGTATGTTTGGTTTGACATGTTTTTATTAAATACACATTTACTTGAGGCGGTGGTCACGAAAGTCCCCCACGTGTGAAAGATTATGTGTGTGTATGGAAAGTCCCCCACCTGTCAAAGGTCAATGTGTGTGTATGTATGGAAAGTCCCCCCCCCCTGCATTTGAATGGGGCCGACCGATGTAGTACAGGAGGGGTGAGTTGATGAAGCGTGGAAACAGGGTCAAACACAGTGGTTCCTGTTACTGAAGTTGTATTCGGGTTGAACGTACCAGATAACCCCCAATCCCCAAAACGCAGAACCCAAAGCTTCAATTGCTTGACTTACCACAAGTCCGGCATTAGGGGTGTAGTTTGCCGATGGTGGGTGGCAGTGCTCGGTGTAGTCTACGCAGCAGTCGTTAAAAAAGGTGCAGGCTGGATCACATTGGCACATGGCACCAGCCAAGGTGCCGACGGTGCTGTTGAACGTTTGGAAGCGACAACCAAGGCTTCTGCACAGGTGGCGTTGGGTGCAAATGCCAACATTTGTTCCACCAAGGTCCAGCCTTGTCACGTGATCGGCTGAAAGGGAAAACACTGATCATGCACGTCTTCTGTATCATCTCTACTTAATTGATGTGAAAGAATGATACAAGAAAATGAGCATAAATGACCGTAATGTGGCAGAGACACAGAGATCCACTATTAATCTCTCCAATAATTTTTTTTTCAGATCAATCTATCCCCTTTTGAGTTTCCCTCATGTAGCCTAGTAGCAATGGGTGGCGCCAGTAACCGATTTTGAATACATATACAGTACTTAGTTTGGGATTCACAAGCTGCGGTCCTTTATACTAAGGAGGCAATAGTCAGAGGTGCCTGTTTTTCGAAATAACGCACTGCAAGAGTGACTGAAACATTTAATCATTGCCAGGCATGTACATGAGAGGTCCTATACACATATTAAGTCAAAAAAATCGTCGCAATACAAGAAGTAAATCTTTATATAGTTAACGGGGAAAACGGCGCAGATGGCTATAAGCAAACAATTTCTTTTTGTGAAGCCATAATAAAATCGTTCCAAGAAAATTTTGGGAAGGAAGTTCAGTTAATCAGGTGGTTCAGGAAACACTGTGCAACGGGCCCCTCGTGGTTTCGCTCATATGATGGCAGAGAAGACTGCGTTGCAGCAATCAATATAATGGAGAGCACTCTATCAATCACCGTTATCGTGGAAGGAATGAAGAATGCATCCATGAACAGACAGCTGGGATCATGCATTAACCGTTGCTGTTTTCTGGGGGGGTCACATTAATTTTATAATGATCTTTTACTAAAAGGTGGTTAGAATTCTGAGGTTTTGTTTGTTATTGACAAACAATACACAGCAATGTTATGAATTATGCTTTTATAAAACACGTAATACCTCGTACTGCACGTATATTTTCCGAACCGAAATTAAGGGTTCTAAAGAGGTTATTTATTATTTGCGGCCACAAAACCTTTAGGGGACTTCTTTTCCTGTCGCAATTCTCCTATATACTTTAAAGCTTCAATATTCTCGTTAATTGCAAGCATATCCCCAATGCGTTTCCGTCCAATCATTAGACGTTCTTGGTCTGATCGTGTCCCCCCTTTTTTATTTAAAAATTTGTATGAGAGGGGCACTCTGCCCTTGGCATCCGGCGGCACCCGTGCTCCTAAATCCCAGACATAGGTTCGAGAAAAAAAATCCAAGAAATTAAAATTTACACACATGCAAATAGTACCGGAGTAAATGAAGCCGGAAATCTGAGGGGGTGGGGTGGGGCAGGGCGGAGCGGAGTGATCACGCCTTTGCTTCCGGGGTAATGAGGGGTCAAATTTAGTCACAGTTAAATGCTTAAATGAACCTCAATACCTTCGTCCAGTCTTCCCAAACAGTTCTGGAAGCCTTGCACAAGCAAAAACCTTGAGGTTCTGCTATGCTTTCTTTCGTGACGTCATTGAGAATCATCAAGTAATTACCAGTCATTGTACAACTGATTGCAGCGGGAAGTCACATGACCTCGACTTTGGGGTAACCGGAAGTGAAATAATATGGGATTATAACTCAAAACTGAAGGACTTTTCCAAACCCAACTTAATTCCTATAAATGTTAAGCATGGGTTGCCCGCTTGCGACTCGTCACTGTTATTCTTTGTATTTGAGATTCAAATTTTATGGAAGTGGACGAAAACAAGACACAACAAATTTTCAAAAGAATAATTTCATCCCAGAATTTATCAAAGTGGCACTCTAGAGATGATCGGTTTCGTTGTTTTTTAACTTCGTCATTTTATACATGTATATAGCAACGAAATCACTCAGCTAGGTTTCCGATGACACACATCAAAACTCTTTGCCGTTATCCAACCATCCAAATTACTAGTTTGTAATTAAACCAAACACGTCCTGTCCGATGTCTTTTTAAATTTGTAGACAAAAATCATGAGCTACTGTATGCGGGACGAGAGATTTCAATATTTGGGCAGCGTTGTAAAATTTGCCTGCATATAGGAAATGAATACGACACAACTAAAAAACAAATCCACGTGACGTGCCCCATTCGAAATCTTGAAATGAACCCAACAACTATACACAAGCTCCTGTTTATTTGTTTTTAGACTCCAACCATGGTCCCACTGGAGCCACTAGTGGACTGCCACTGTTCATGCAAGAACTGTCTGAAGTTTAGGCGGGTTAATGAATAAAAATCTTCCTGTTTCCATTAAACGGCTAATGTTTCTTTCGTCTTGGCTAGAGTCGCACGAACGTGGTGACGGGTGGAAGCTATTTCCATGACTACAGCCATTTTATTTATTATCTATCTTATTAAGTTCAACAATATTTTCTAGTAAGTCTTACGTTTATCCATAGGATAGCAGGAAACACTGAGAATGTGTGAATTATTATTCCTACAAGAGAGATTTCCTTACATCTTGCTACCGTAAACCTTTCACTTAATTTGCCACCTTCACCATGAAAAGCTCCAAAGCTAATGAATTGCCCTTTTAGAGGGTTCTGAGCATATGCATTAAGGGGACAGGCACAATGAGAAGTTTATTTTATTTCGAATTATCTCGAATTATTTTGTCGTTCCCTCCAATAGAGCAGCATACAATGGCTATTTCTGTGTCAAAACGCCTCTAAAAGATGTCCCGATTTCAGCATAGTAATTTATAGAAAATTTATAATTGTAAATTACTTCTGACAAAAACGTACCCTACATTGGTATTGTTATTTTGAAATACTTAACGTGAACTAAATGTTTTCTATTTCTGTTAACCTTTACTGTACAAAATGTTACAAAACTTGTGTTCCACATAAGGAACTTCAGTCACGCCCCACAAGGTTTTGGGGTGTTTGAAATTATTTTGCAACCTTTGGGGGTTTTTTTCTTTAGCTTGAAATAGACTGGTTGCAGCATACTTGTACTAATGACTTGTATACCATGCAAAATATATTTCCATGACAATGGTTTTTATTCAGTGTCTTTGTTTATCTTCATGAGTGCTCTTGAGTACCGAATTAAGAATGCACCGCCCAAACTCGGTCGTGTTGTGCATAGAGCCGAGGACCATGCATCTGCTGATACGAGCACATTGTATGCTGCACAGACATCAGTCGATTTGTGGACAGTATACAATTTGGCATTGTGAATTGTTAGCTCGATTTCTAACGACAGGTATTAGAAATACGTTTACAGAGTTCCCTTGAATGGGAGTTTAGGTTATAAGTGACGTGAATGACTTCTTATTCCGACTTGTGTTTAAAATTCCCATTACAAGTGGACAGCAATCGGAAAGAAAAAGGCAGACTAATGTTGTTGGTAGATTAACAGTTAACTGGTTCTGTGAAATGTACCATATCGACATCCACCTTGCACTTTTTGTAAATGTAGTGTGTAACTTGTTGCCCCAGTTTTGTGAAAAGGGATTGAAATGTGTGACCAGTTATTGGAGGAGGATTGGAGGATACGTTGGAATCGATTCCTGCACTCTTCATGCAAAGAGTACGAGAATGTATCCAACCAACCACTCCTGTATCCAGATCATCACCTCTCCTGTTGAAGAGAACGTCAGAAGTACTACCCTTAGCCGAGTCTGATCGCATTGTCCCTTCTTTTCGGAATTGTTCCTGAATCAGCGGTTCACGGGCTTGTTTCCGTACTTCTGTTTGTGCGAGATCGCCCACGTGGGATCTGGATCTGTGTTCGGAAGGAGCGTCCTGATGATCGTCAGTCTTATATTGCATAATGAGTAGCTTCCTATTGTGTCATGTCCATTGTTGTATTAGTAATTGCCACTTAGTACTTGTTGAATTTTGATACCTTTGAATCATTAGTGTGAGTCAACCGAATTAATTTCCTATTAATTGGAACGGTAAATCTTACCCAAAACAACTGTTTTACATTTTTGATATTATTATGTCGAACCGGTTTGGAGGACTTGGGGATTTCCATGAATGAATAAACCTCGCGAAATAACTAAGAGTACATTTTGCATCACAAAATCGTATTACAACAATTTACACCCCCCCCAAAAAAAAAAAACACTCTTCACATTTGAGGTATATACCTTTTTTAAAAGCATGTTTTTTTTTGAAAATATAAAGGCTACATAGTTTAGTTCAAAAAGGTATATCCCGCATTAAGCACTGCACATTGGGTATTCATAAAGTGTAGCCACCTGTTAGCAGGTCATGTTACATGCATGGAATTATATACAACATAATGTATAATATACGATAAGAGCCTTGGTGTATTATACGTGTACATTAAAGCTGATAAAGACGTATCAGCCTCTCACGGACATAAAACATATGTAGAGACAAATTGCAAGGTAGCATTAATTTGGCTACGTAATTGCACAGGTACAAGCACCTCATTAGTCTCCATGAATTAACCTTATGTTCAAGGTTTGTTTTGCTAGTTTGATGCTTTGGGTGTATTTTGTTTTATGATGAGTATTTACATATTCTTGGAGAAAAACTGCGGTGTTATCTCGTGAATAAAAACCTCAATTTTACATATCGATCTGTGCAAACAATTTGCTGGAATTGTTCATATAGGTGACTGGCTTAAAACTGCACTTCATTGTTGTCTAACTACATATCTTTCATAACACAGCAATCCACCAATTAGCAACCGTTTCCCAGAAATACTCTAGATGATCAAAAAAATTTTTTTTTCAATTTGGATAGTAAACCTTTTAAATGAACAGCGTCTTCAGCTGCATATAAAAAGCGTCTGTAAGAAAATTCATCGCTAGGCATAGGATCCAAAAAGACTAGTAACACTCAGTGCTCAAAATCCAGCCTCTTCCCAACCAAATTCATTGCACGTACCAATTATTTTCATTATGCGTGAGTAGTTTATACATTTTTGCTGTACATTTTTTGCACGTTTGGCCCCCAATTTTTTCTTATCTCTTTATATTTAACAAATGCCCTGTGGATCAAGTAAAGAACATTCAACATATTCCTTGCAAACTCACCGCACCCCTTCCAATTTTTAATGTAAGCCTTAGTGCCTATAACCCTCCCCTGTCATTCAACACGGAACTACTAATAAATGTGAAATAAATCCAAACAATTATAAAAAAAAACAAAGTCTCTCCAACACACCCATCCTAAGATGCACGACAGCAACGCCAGTAAATTGTTCATTTTAGTACCTGGGCCCATTTCCACAAAAGGTCCCAAGTGCTGAAGGCCTACTAAACGAACGAAATTTGGGTGCACCATCGATGTGTTACGACCCACACCAACTTCCTACCTGTGATGTAAGACGAGTCTAGTGCAAAAGAAAATTTCAGCAAATCTGTTGCACCATCACAACTTGCGCATTGGCAGGATATGGATTTAATTCAGATAAAAAATTACGTCTAGTAGGGAGGTGACTTGAATAATTAGGGCAAGTATATGTGCCAGTATGTCCGGTTGGAAGACAATGGCATCTTTGTTAGTTTCACCAAGCAAATACATGTATAGCAAACAATGCATCTGTATGTTTCAACATCATCTGCAGTGTTAGTCTGGGGAATCCCCACCCCCAGGGTAAACGAAACGAAATTCAGCCATTTTGATTTTTCCTGCTGTTCCTACTATTTTTTTCCTGAGATTTCAGATAAATAAGCATTATTGGTTTTCAAATGAACATTTGAGATGGAGCACGAGTGATCTACTATCACACTGGTCATGATTTTGCCCTTTGAAAGCAAGAAATTTGTGTTGAAAACTATCAGCAAGTAAGTAACCAAAAGATTCGGTGGCCGAGAGGATAGAAAACCATACGAGACAGCAATCCTACAAACCGTTATGGGTACGAGGATTCACTTAACTTCACTTGTTGCTCCAAAGTAGAAGTATAGCAACGAAGAAGCTGAGAAAAACACAAAAGTCGGCTCAAGCAAAGTTAGTGTGTTGAATCAATAGCTACATTATTTTAACCCAGGGTTATGGGGGTTGCACCACTTCGGTATAGGTCTATGCTACTTGGTGTTATACCCATGCTCAAGTTTGAATTGGAGAAGTCCGTGATTGCGTCAATAGCCGTATGATTCGGCTTCTTCTGGCGATCCTTGTATGGTTTTCATTGCCATTCCACTCGCTTCCGTCGGGTTATGCATCCATCTGATCGTCATACATGTGCTCATCTTCAGTAATAATCCAAATAAAACTTTACAAACACATTGCTACTGGAGAACGCCATGTTTGTTGATATTTTACACCGAGACCCTGGGCTATAGAATGTGACTTAGCGGGTGCAGTCCAGGCCAATCTGAAGTTTGAAAAAAAAAACAGCTGCACTTGCCTTGTGCAATGGAAGGTAGAGCTTTAAAATTCCTGCACATATCCTTTGAAAGGTAGAAAAAAATCAAGATAAAAAACCACCTGTTTGCTCTATTCACACTTTCACCAAGGTTTCATCTTGAACACATTTATCCAATAAAGACGCCTTAATTTTCCATATGCGCGCCATTCTATTAGGCGTCAACCCTTGAGCCAAGCGTTGCGGCCGCATCCAACGGATAGGAGTGTTATGCCAATAGAGTCGATTTGTGTCCATGGAAGTGAAACGCATGAACGTATTGTGTATGCAACGCACCCCTAAAACGTACATTATGGAAAGGCGCGTAATGTGTTCCATGTGATTTTAGATTAAACGAGGATGGAGGTTACTGACAACTAGAACCTGCTCTCCGTGCAGAAATATTCTAACCAAAATTTTTTTGGATAATATCTTTGACCGACGGATGGTCGAATTTTCCCCCCTAAATTCTGGTACCAGGAAATAGAAAAATATAACCATATGCATGCACCAGGAAGTACCTGAAGTTTCATTCTGTGGTAAATGAAGCAGTAACCACTAACCGCCTGACACTTAAACTCACCCTCTATTTCTCTGGACGCAGTAGGAGCTTGGTCCTCGATCGCAAAATCCGCGCCTCCTGTGCCCGTGAAGGACCGGGGTCTAGGTGCATCAGTGGGTGAAAGTGGCACCTCCGTAGGTGCTGTAATATTTGCAGGCGCTATTTCTTGTGCCAGTAGGTAGGACACACCCACAGTGAAGAACAAGACATGTAGACCAGCCATCCTCACCGCCGCAAACACCGAATGTAATGCACAGAATACTCAAAGCCCTTGCGTACAAGAACCGCACACGTCACTGAGCATCGCGTTTTTTTTTACATTATTAAGCATGCCAAGATTGATGGCACGCAGACGAATTAACATGCACAACACTCACTGCATAAAATGTACGTTCACCGTTCTGTCATAGGTAACGTGCAGTGGTACCTATCCCAATGCATTGTGACCGCCAATACAATTTGATGGACGCACGAACACTTCAAAGGGATGGTTCTGAAGAAACGCATGGCTGCTCGCATAAGCCGTGTGATCTCTTTTTCTGTGGACAAGTGGTCCTATTTGACAGCTCACAGATTATAACCATTTCAGTGGAAACTGAGGAATTAAACTTTTTCAGAATTAATTCAAGTCCCTTGGGGTATTTCATGTGGCTCTCAAATTAAACGAACCATGCACATAATGAATTTTCATTGTACACTTTATGTAGGCCTATCACTTTAATGCGGGTCGCGATGTGCGTTTGCGGAATGTCGAAAGCAACAGTGGTGATTTTTATAACGTCAAAACTGCAGGCGAAATCCCAAAGCAGACAAAGGGACAGGAAGGGGCCATATTCCATCAACGTTACCATCTGTATGTAAAAAGTGACAATCAGGCTTTACTGTGCAGGTAGGTGATTTTGATGGGAAGTGATCCCAAATCAAAATAATAATAAAATGATAATATTGTGCAGAAAGCTTTAGTAAATATGAGCACTCACAAAAGCTGCTGAATTTGTATTGTTTATTGGCATATAGTATCATTATCAAGAATGCTTGTGAGTTTATCTTGTCATTCTTAAGCTTACATGGCAAGCTTACTTCATCCGCAAGTAGTTCCAAGATTGCTGCACTCACTGTTACTTTCCTGGCAAAATTCCCTTGAATTATTGACTAGACTAACTGGCAATCTTAAGTGACGTCATGTTTTTATGCTTTGGACATGGAGGCTGCGCGTCGTTACTTGCTTAATTCGCGTCCTCTTGCGTCCACTTATTACTGGAGTTCAGAAATCCGGACTTGACGAATCTGCCGGCCGTTTGTACACAGCGAACAGCTCATCTGCCAAAATAGGCAGCAGCTAATCAAATTGCCGGACTTCTTCCATACCCCCGTTGTAATGAGCGAGTCTACAAGTCTGACTACTTTGATTGGTGGACATCCCGTATATATGTACATGTAAATGCATTATGAATAACTACATATCACCGACGGGGTGGGGTTTCGAATGGCTCATCCGTCAAGTCGGACGTAGTGTACACGTTGTACCATTTTAGACGTTGACGCAGTAAGTTGCACAAAAGCTATCATATTGGGCGCCTTATGAGAAGTTATACGAGAGGCCTAGCGCTACGACCGTGTACTGTGTATGTGAAGGGTGGCTGACTGGGGACGAGCAACGTAAGTCCGACTTGATTCAAGTCTACTTGAATGACGAAGTTATGTATTTGGCATGGGCGTAAATCCCGAGGTGAGGCTGGGGCTGTATATCCCCCACCTTTTTTTAAAGGGGGGATATATACTTCTTTTGTGATGAGCAAAAAGAAAAAGAAAGTGGATCATGAAGAATTTTCAGGATTTTCAATGACCAAAATTTTTGCAATATCATTAACGGAGCTCGTTATGTGAAGCATTTTTCTCGGAAGCACTTTTGTAAACCGTTGTTTTCGATGAAAGTGTTAGTGTTATTTGATATCCCTTTCAGATTATGTATGTCAAAGGGTGCATTTCAAAAAAAAAATTGAGAATAAGTGTCCCTGCTTGTCTGGAAAACCAATCTGTGTTTTGTAGGTGTAATGTCACTTGGGGATCATTGTTCAGTTAATTGTAATGTTTACATTATGAACCAAAAATTAATTTGCTAATTGAAAAGATGTCCGAGAAAGGGTTACTAGATGCATTATTACCATATACTAACAAAAAGGGGTTGTCGGGCTGGCGGAGTGGTTCTTTCCTCGCCTTCCACCTCTGCGGTCCGGGTTCGATTCGCGGGTCGGTCCACATGTGGATTGGGTTTGCAGTCCCTACTCTGGATAGAAAAAAACCGTAACCCCTTCTCACTGTCTCCTCTCTGTCAGATTTCTTCAGGCTTGTGAGCTACAGTGCGTAGGGCACTTTTGAGGAATCTTTGGTTTCATTACCAGAAGTAATAATAATATGTTTTACTTTTAATGTAAGGGTACAGAACTTTGTTTTTGTGCTATTGTTTTCTCTCACATATTTGTTTATTACCTCAAATTTGAATTGCAAATTTTAATTTTTGTACTTTTTTTTCAAAGTTCATTTTCTTAATTATGCCTTTCTTAATCTATCTTTGCTTGGGGTTTTAGTTTGTTTAGTTTTCTTTGCTTCATGTTAGTATGTATTTTTGTTATTTTTTTACGTCTATTCAGGCTGCCGTCTCAGATAGTTTTATTCAGTTTTAGTCATAATGTGTGTCAATACTTACTATTTTCGGCTTTTTCCATTTCTTCATGTTTTCTCGTTTTACAAAACAGTATTTGGTATTTTCTTATCTTTTCTTATTTTTGATTACCTTTTGTAGATTTTCAATTTTGTTTCCTTTGCTTTATATTCCTTGTATAATAATTTGTTTTTGTGTTCAGGGCCCTCATTAATAGCAGTACGTCTTACTGACAAGGCTACCATGATTAAATAAAACAGTAAATAAATAAAAAATAAATTATCCAAAGCCTAGGAAATTTGGGACAGTAAACTATCCCAGATTTTAGCAGTTTCGTTTGTATAAATCAATACAACACTGAGGTTCTCTCCCTGGGATATTACTGTTTCACCCTTGAATATGGAAATTTGCATTAGCATACACCGTTACCCCAAAGACTCCAAAATAACTGTGTGATGAGCAAAACCAAAAAATGAAAATACAATTAACTGAAACAAAGGTGTATTTTCAACAGTTGCAATGACAAGAACTGCACCACGTATAGATCCTTTATTTATAATCAAGTTGGAAAATGAATTACGTGTCCCCTGTGCGGGGGTGAGGGAAAGGGGTACAAATCAGCCTGTGATAAGAAACCAAGGTGTGGACAGACGTCCCGGCACTGAGCAGGTTATTCTGACAGCTGTAATTAACAAGCTGTCAATGTAGTCAGTGTTGGTATTTACACATTGCAGGGTGTTCAAGCCCAGTGTACATAGAAGTATATAAAGCTTTGCCGGACTTCATCATATAGACCCATCAAGCAGTCTGTCTAACAAGTATCTGTCTGTCTAACAGTAATACGATGCCCCAACAAAGCCTCTGGCTATAGCTGTACAGGGTCTGCTAAGTACAGTATTTTGTGAATGCATGTACCTCAATATTTTCACTGCAAACTTTCACTTTTTAGGACTTTTTTGCTTTCAGATGGCTAAGAGGTCACTGCAGGGAAAAAAATGGAACTCTTTCCTTACAATGTAACTTTTCACGTTTTGTCCTCTTGTCAGCATTTTGCACCAGTGGCAGATCTTTATGCATATTTCATGACATTTTTTTCGGTAATAATGCATATTAATACCAAATGCTAGTGCACTTTATATGTTGAATAAACTCTGATCTGCTTCTTAGAAATTCCAGCGTTGGAAAACCATTCGAATTATATACATGTAGGTCATACTTGACCTTTCGTCTGTAGTTGTCTGGAAAATGGAGTGGTAAAACTCCTTGCTAATGTAATGCAAAACATTTCGAGGTATATTGCCGCCGTTTTGTTTGTGTTTAACTTTTACAAGAGCCACATTTCTGGCATGGCATGTTTGCCATTGTAGTGATGTGTCACTTCTTGCCTGGGTATATGTGCCCATAAAATGTGTAGCCCCCAAATATTGTAATAAAAAGAAAAATCCATAAAACATAAAATTCACTCCAATTTTACAACTTTTTGTTCGTGGGCTTGGTCCATTTTTCTTCTTTTCAGTTGAACATGGCATAAGTAGTCTGAAACTGTATGAAATTCAAGCCTTTCGATTAAAACAAACTGACACAAACCATGAAAAGCTCTTTCATAGTCAAACACAAGAGTGTCATGAAATTTCACAGCAAATCTGCCACTGTTGAATCTTTCTCTTTTTTTGGCTTGCATAAATTGCCAGAATATATGAACATGTTTTAGCTTGACACCACAAAGGTTCACAAATAAGTGAGTGCATGTTTATTGGAACAAATCGACACTTCGCAATTAATTGCATTTTTCTGTATAAAGAATTGTTCCTGATAATTCTAGAGAGATATAAAAGATCCACAGAAACATTACTTCATTAAAACATTATTAAACAAAGCATGCTCACTTTAAAACAGCTACGTTGCATCCAACATATTATCAAGAGTGACTACGGGTAGTGAAAACCTCTCGTAAAGAAACAGTAAGACACATGTGATGTTTGCGTTATGGAGACGGAGGTATTTAAGTTTGACGGGGCTGCCAACTGAGAGGGAACTGAGAGTGAGTGTGAGATTTGGGGCCTGCAGAAAGATCCCTACATTTTTGGATTCTTGGTGCTCTGGGGTTTGCTCTGGGGTTTGATCTGAGGCATTTTCTTGCCACTTCAAAATCAATTTTTGAGCTGACGAACATCATTACATGTATTCCGGGCTCTGAAATCAAACACTGGCCACATTTCCTAATTAAAAAGAACTTTTTAGCAGGAGAAATGCTGTGAGAGCATGACATGAGCACATACGAGTAAGCTGAAATGCATGAGTCTCACGCTCAGTGGATGAGAGTTGGCAACCCTGGTACCAAAAGTGTTATATGTATTTTTCACCACTCTGGTAACAAAATTTGGAGCACCACTCGTTTTTTTATAGTATAGATGTTGACGAATATGTAAAGAATACATGATTTTCCATGTAAAGGCAATTTGTGGTAGAATTCAATTGGTGAAAACCTTAAATTTGAGAATGTGAGGTTTTTAAAAAGTTACTGACTGCCACAACCTAGTGAAAAAAAACAACAAAGCTGAAGAACAGTACAAAGACTTTAAGTAGGCCGTGTTGAACCACTATATGCATCATAAACTTCTCAAATTCTAGGCTTTTTTTATTCCCCGTAGCCCTACACCATAGTGCAGATTCACCCTACCACCCTCATGATCTCATTGGAGTTGGTACAAGCTAGGCGATTTGTTGTAACTTTTCATGAGATTTCCAGATAGTGTTTAAAGAGTCCTAGCGATGTGTTTTTCCTACACACACACTTTCTGTGCAATTTTATACTCCTTTCCTTCGAGTGAAAACTGTTCCACATCCCTTTGGGTAGGTGTACGGAAAGGCACACTGTTTTGAATGTTTTAACTATTCTAGACATTTCTGGACAACTGAGGGCACTGTTGCATTTCTGTGATGCTGATAAAGACCATTCATTTTGTAAAGTTTTCCATTAAAATTGTGTTCTCTGAGTCAGGAAATAATCCCAGAAAATGGTTCCCTGGAGAGAACCTGGAACGTCTGATATTTAAGTTGCCCAGGGAAACTTTGCTCCATTCAGAAAAGAGAAAATATACTTGTGACTTTTTTCCACCTAACATATAAGTTATGACATTTCTCAGCATGAATATTTTCACAACGAGAAACTAAAAACAGAAGGTTATAAGCCCTGAGCAGTTGAAGCTAACCCTGCCCGACGAGCCAGTCGCTCTGAAAGTTACAACCTGTTGTCATTCCTTCCAAGAAATCCCCAAGGTTTCTGCGATGAACGCATAGATATCGGAGTACTCTTCAATCTGAGAAAAACAGAAACGAGAATCAAGAATGGTCCTTTTGGTTGTGGCATCTGCATTAGAGAGCATGACGTTAATCAGGAAATGTTGAAATCTTTCAATGGCCTGTTGAGCAGGGGTAGTAACAGCAATGCACCTCCGGTTCAAGTGTAATTATAGTTGTATTGTAACATATGAAATATCAACATACCACTTTTGCAGTGGGCTTGCCGAATCCGTGGCCCGACTTTGTATCCACACGCACAAAAAGTGGATTGGTCTGCTGCTCAGTGTTGCCCAGGGCATGCTGCAGTGTGGCTATGTACTTGAGGGAGTGCAAGGGAACCACGCGGTCGTCATGGTCCCCTGTAAGCAGCATGGTGCTTGGATACTGGATTTTTGGGTCAGCTGGGGGCTTGATGTTGTGCAAGGGTGAGTACCTAGGACAAAGAGGCCAACAATGTATACACATGTATATAGGGGCAAGTTATGAAAAACACATCAGGCGGTCAACAGAGATCTCATTCGGAGACTTTTGCACAT